TCCTGTATTTCTTAAAAAAGCTAATGATAATAGGCCTTATCTGAAAATAGAGTTATATGGTCATGAAACACTGGCACTAGTTGATACTGGTTCAAATAGCACCATACTGGGAGCTTTAGGTTTTTCTATATTACAACAGAATAATATTCCTATTAAATATGATAGTTCTATGAGTGTTACCACTGCTGATGGCAAACCTCAAGATTGTCTTGGTTATATCAAAGTGCCTCTCACTATTTCTACAGTAACTAAAGATATAACTATCTTGGTAATTCCTTCTATAAGACACAATCTAATTTTGGGTGTAGATTTTTTGAAAACTTTCAATATTGAAGCGAATTTTGCAAATTTCAATTATGAAGTGTGTAATGAAGTATCTGTAGTAAATACGATTAAATCCATCTCAAACCTCAATGAAGTACAGAAAAGTAAACTGAACGAGACAATTAAGAAATTTGAAAGTATAGCACCTGAAGACCGGTTGGGTCGAACGCATTTGATAACGCACTCTATAGAGACAGGTACAACAAAACCTATTGATCAGAAGCAATATCCACTTTCTCCCGCTATGCGTGTACATTTGAATGCACAAATAGATGAAATGTTAAGATTAGGGGTTATTGAGCCTAGCAAATCAGCATGGTGTTCCCCATTGTGGTTAGTGTTGAAGAGTTCAGGGGAGTATCGTGTGTGTTTCGATGGCAGGAAACTGAACCAGGTGACAATTCCGGATGCATATCCTATGCATAATATAGATGCTTTACTCAACAAATTAAGGGATGCTACCTATCTTAGTTCTATTGATCTTCGACATGCTTTTTATCAAGTACCTTTGGAGGAGAGTTCTAAACAAAAAACTGCGTTTGGAGTTTATGGTAGAGGATTATATCAATTTTGTGTTATGCCTTTTGGTCTTCTAAATAGCCCAAAAACTATGGCTCGGTTAATTAATGTGGTAATAGGTCCTTCTTTGGAACCATATTGTTATGCATACCTAGATGATATCATCGTAGCCACTCCAACATTTGAGTTACATCTACAGGTTTTGGAACAAGTTTTTCAGAGATTGAAAGATGCGAATTTGACGATCAATTTGAAGAAAAGTGAGTTTTGTATGTCTTCATTAACTTATCTAGGGTATGTAATTGATGAGAAGGGTTTACATACAGATCCAGCCAAAGTAGAAGCTATTGTCAAGTACAAAATTCCGACAACCACTACAGAAATTAAACGGTTAATAGGCTTGGTAGGATGGTATCGAAGATTTGTTAGGGATTTTTCTTCAATTGCAGCTCCCATCACGGATTTGTTACATGGTAGGAAAAAAGGACAACCCATAGTTTGGACTGCAGAGGCCGATGAAGCTTTCAAAGAAATCAAATTTCGTTTATCTAATGCTCCTGTTCTAGCAAGTCCTGATTTTAGTAAGCCATTTATCATTCAATGTGATGCGAGTGATTTTGGTCTTGGTGCCGTTTTATATCAGGAATGCGATGGTTTTGATCACCCTGTTGCATATGCTAGTCGGTCATTAACATCTTCAGAAAGGAAATATACGGTAACAGAAAAAGAATTGTTAGCGATTTTGTTTGCCATGGAAAAGTTTAGGTCATATGTCGAGGGAACTCATGTAACAATTGAAAGTGATCACAGCTCTTTACAATGGATAACAACTCTATCGAATCCGAGTGGTAGATTGGCTCGATGGGCTGTTAGGCTATCTCAATATGACTTTACGATTAAACATCGCAAAGGTACCCTTATGGTGATCGCAGATTCGTTATCTAGATCGGTAGCAGACGTTTCGGTCGTTGATGTGTCCACCTTCAGTCCTGACCATTGGTATAAGGGAATGATTGAGAAAGTAAAGTCGTCTCCTGAGAAATTTCCAACTTTTCGTACCGAAAATAATATTTTATACAAACATGTTTTTTCTAGTAACCCAATTGAGTCAAATTTGACGAATTGGAAGATTGTCGTACCTTCGAAAAATAGGAATGAGATATTAAAATTTTATCATGATAATGAGACTGCAGCTCATTTGGGAATGACCAAAACTTTTTTCCGGATCGCAGAACTGTATTATTGGCCTAGGATGAAAAAGGACGTATGTACCTATGTTAAAAAGTGTGCAGTATGTGCAGCTAGCAAGTCAAGTAATTTACCTAGGGCAGGACACATGGGTGGTTATAAGAATATTGATTTCCCATTTCAATGAATATCGGCGGATCTTATCGGCCCTTACCCAAGGTCGAAAAATGGTAACGTTTATGCATTAGTAGTTGTAGACTGGTTTACAAAGTATTGTCTTGTACATCCAATGGCTAAGGCTGTAGCCAAAAATATTGTCAAATTCATTGAGAATTAAGTTTTTCTTATTTATGGAGTACCACAGATTGTTTCCTGTGATAATGGATCTCAGTTTATTAGTAAAGAATTTAAAAAATTGATGAACGAATATAAAGTGCAGAATATTTTCTATAATGCAAACTATCATCCACAAATTAACCACACAGAAAGGACAAATAAAGTAATTGTAACGGCTATTAGATCATATGTTCATGAAAATCACAAAGACTGGAATGTTAGTATTCACAAAGTGGCTCAGGCCATAAGATTGGCGAAACATGATATCACCGGATATAGTCCTTCATTTTTAAATTTTGCGAGAAATGTTCCAGTAAGTGGAGATTTCTATGGAAAAATCGAGGATAATGCTGATAACATTGTAAGTGTGGGTGAGAAGTTACAATTAGTAGACGATATTCAAACCTTACCTTCTTTGTATCAAGATGTTAGGAATAAACTGAGAACAGCTCATTCGAAATATGAAAAACAATATAACTTAAGGAAAAGGGATGTAGTATATCATGTAGGAGATAAACTTTGGAAAAGAAATTATGTTCAATCCAGTAAAGCAGATAATTTTGCAGCTAAGTTGGCTCCAAAGTACATTCCATGTGTGGTGCATAAAGTTATGTCTAAATTAGTTTACAATTTACGTGATCTTGAGGGTAATGACTTGGGTAATTGGCACGTTAAGGATATTAAGGGTAGTTTTTTCGAGAATGATGAAAATTTACCTGAATCTGAGGATTCTGAGTAATGTATCGGTTATTTTTTGTTTCTCTCAATGATAGTGTCTATCAGTTTAATAATGTGTGTCTTGTCGTATCTATTGATGATGATGATCAACGGTGAGTTTAGTTCAATCGCATATGAGTGATTCGATTCTGATCTGGACTGTTGTGACACCTGGTTCATTTGATTAGTCTCAGATAGTGAGAATGGTGTTGACTGAAATTACCAATATATATCGGGTATGTAGGTACCGTAGTTTATCCAAAGTTAGTTAAACTAGTGTTATCGTTATCTTGAGGGTTATCTTATTTATCACACGAAGGTTTTGGGTAACCAGACATATCGTAAGTTATCGTATATCTGCTGGTATAGCATTATCGTATTGGAAGAGTAATTTTCTCTTCATCGTATCGCAAGAGCTATAAATTGTCTCTTAGTATCTTTTGGTTGAGTATTATTAACCATATGGGAAGTCGTGGGTGATTTCTTGAAAATGAAGTTCAATGATTTGTTCAATTTGGCTCTCGGTAGAGTTTTGGAATGAATTTTGAACTTAAAGGTTTGGGATTTCGGTTGGACATGTGGTATATTTGCACGGGGAAGCACAGACAGATAAAGGAACTCGAGTGGTGTCCAGATATGAACTCAAAGTTGATGATCATCAGAATGAATGTTAATGTGATTTTTTTTTTTGTTGTTTTCTCGTGAAATTATATTTTCACATAGTGTGGTCTTTTGGTAAGGATAAATGTAGGAGTGTTCAGAATGCGGTATAGTATCAGGCAGTAACTGATAACAACTTATTAAGTTATAATGCTGGACGTTTGCTGTGTTGAGCCGGCGTTAGAATAGCTCAACAGGAGAACCTTCCTTGCGGTAAGAATCCGACTAAAATGGCCCTCTTCTTGGAGTTAGTATTTTTTTATTATAAATATATAATGGGTATGGAATTACTCTCGGATTTTCACAATTTCTTGTTATTCCTAATGCAAGTCCAATTGTGTTCTTTTCTCTTCATCTTCACTAGATACCATTACATCAAAATAACTTGTGGTGAAACTGTTTCTTTGATCGGGGATGAACTTTTTAAAGGAGTTTTTGAAAACTCTTCCTCGAATCATTGGTGGTGAGTTCATTAATCTTATATGGATTATTGCGCCTAGGTTCTTCCACTATTATGACATCACTAGGTAAAAAATCAATGGGAGGAGGTTGAACATTGAAATTTATTCTTCATCGAAGTCACTGTTACCACTAACACTCATCCTCTTCCGACCATTTTGATTTCTTCTTCTTCCTTAGAAATATTGATTGGATCATTGAATTTTTTTGATGGTTTGCCTTAGATCTCGATTGAGATATTTTATTTTCGATTGGAGGCCAGAGAATAGGGTCGAAAAATAAATAAATAAATAAATAAATAAATAAATAAATAAATAAATAAATAAATAAATAAATAAATAAATAAATAAATAAATAAATAAATAAATAAATAAATAAATAAATAAATAAATAAATAAATAAATAAATAAATAAATAAATAAATAAATAAATGAATAAATAAATAAATAAATAAATAAATAAATAAATAAATAAATAAATAAATAAATAAATAAATAAATAAATAAATAAATAAATAAATAAATAAATAAATAACGTTTCTTGGATCTTTTAGAGATGTTTCCTTTTTCTTCGTGGAGGAGTTGCTCTGGATGTTTTTTCATCGGATCGCTAGTGGCGGTTCTGCGGCTGGTGTTTGAAAATTAACTTCGTTAATTTTTTTAAGGGAGAGGGGATGTAACGAGTACTTTGTACTTCGTTGTGAATAGTTAGATAATTTGACTTGAGTACTTTCGGACTAACCCTCGTATAGCGTCAGACATCAAATATTTCGCAGCCAGCGAGCCATGCGCGAAAAGATGACGACTGAAATCGGAATCGAATTGCGCGAGAGAACGAGAATACTGGTCATTCTGGTTTCCGCTTCACTCCCGTTTGCAGGTGGCGGATCGACAAAACAAGACACTGGGTTGAGTGGTGAGATTTTGCGATAAATGGTGAGTTCGTTCCATTATTGTTTGCTCTTGTGGCTTTTATTGCTGGTATAGTCATATCTAGAAACTCAGTTTAAACCTGAGTTGAATAATACGTAGATTTTCCTTTGGTGGGTTCCACGTGAGTTACACAAAATGGCGTGGGAAAGTTGATCGATTGCTAAATCGTATTTATCGGAAACATCATTTATGCTGTGCTGATTAGACCTAGTTCAGAATTATTTCAGTGATATTATCGACCTTTCTTTCGCCGTATTTTCTTGCTTTCAGCGATAATTAAAGATTCGAATGTAACCAAGGAGTCGTGGAGCACATCAGTGGAATCTGGGAAGTCTAGAATAAAATCCAGAATAACATCACAGAGGTACGATTCATGCACGATTCAAGGTGGATGCAGCACAGGAACCTTGGGGATCGAGCAGGTATGTGAGATTCTTTTCTTTACCTTTTTCTTATGACCGGTGATTGTGGATTTTTTTCTTGTTGTTCATAATTTGTTCCACAAGTTACCGTCATTGGAATACACATACCTGGCTGATTTCTAATGCATGAGTCGTGAATCTCTGATTTTTAATACAATACATATGTAATTATTTTTTTATCTTGATTTTGATTCCATTAATTACACAAGAGGAAATAATATAGAGCTCAACATTTTTAGCAACTTGCACCCGTCATCCCAGGGTTGGTTTTGTCGAAGCCATCTCAAATTAGCTTTAATCTATATCTTCCTTCGTAAATCTTTCTCTACATCTTTCCTATTGACCTTTTCTACCAACTTGTCTACTCTCTCTCTATCTTCTACCATATTCCTATTATACCGGGGTAGTACCAAAATATCGAGATTTATCTTTGATTTAAATTACTGGGGGGTTTCTTGCCTAAAATAATTAGGGGGATATAATTTAATATTGGGCTGAAAATAACAGACAATCTGCTAATACCAAATCTAGTTACAGGGGTTAATCAAAAGGTATTTCAAATTTTGCCTTCAGCATCAGTAAAATCCAAGGGGTTGATTAATGGAATAGTGATTCTATTTGTTTTCTTTTATATATATTTCTTCTTTGGTATATATATATATATATTTTTTTTTTCATTCACGTTTAAGTAGCCTATTAGGGTTCTAAAAGGTGCCTTTTTACCCATTAAATATTGTTTACACAAATGGCTTATACATCTGATTGTTTTCCATGCATTGGGAGTCTGGCTGTCTGAGAAGTGGGAACTGAAGCCTATCTCTGCCCATCAATAATTATCGAAAGGACAAGCTGAACTTCGATCGGCTACTACGCAGTCAAGCTCAAGGTTCTTCCAGAGACCCTACCCAGACATCTTTGTATCTCCAAACGAAGAACCTTACACTGGAAGCTTCGACACCAAAGTCTACAGCAGTAGCAGCAGACAGTTCCACTCTCAAGACTTGCCTTATACTCCAATACAGCTGGTAACATCCATCCTTAGCAAGCCACATTGTCTGTTAGGGTTACTTAAACAACTTTCAAACCTTTAGTTTTTTTTTGCATTTTTATATACTTGTACTGTTTTGATTGAGCTTTCATTTATTGTTCAGCTAAGATATATATATTTTCAATTCAATTGTACCAGTTCTCATTCTAAATTTGATAGTTGAGTAATCATTTTCACCTAATTGTTTTCATATAACTGCACGACAGTGCTGAGCTTGTAATTTCATTTGATAAGCTGAACTTGTTTGGTAGAAAGATTTGGAAGACTCAATATATTTGTGGAAAAAATTGATCACTCTCTCTTTTATTGTGTCACACTCTGAAGCTGAATCACATTACCTTTTCTTTCGCTCTATTGTAATGGTCAAATGGTTTGTTTCCTGTTTTGTTTCCATTAAAATTCAAAACTAGGTGGCGCCCATATTCAGCTTCAGACCTATCAAACCAAAAACCAATTACCAACCCCACGACCCAGCTCGAATAATAAAGTAACATCTAGTGTTACAACCTGTGGTGTTAAGTGAAATATAACATAACTGGTTTAACTGGTGATGAGATATTATTCACTACAGCACCAGTTACGTTATTGAATATGTGGTTGGACGAAAAGAATAATGCATTTCAACCTGCTTTCTCAATATCAGTTGGAAAAACTGAACTTGAATCAGCCATTTTCCACTGATGGAAGTATCGAACGAGTCTTTTTCGTGAATTTGGTCACTAATTTGCGACCATATTATTTTATGACGGATACTTCGAAGTGACGGGCGGAGTCGACTTGCCTATACTCAATTTTTGTACATAATCGGTAGAATTCATGTAGAAATGATGGTCATTGTATTATCTGTTCGAGCGAAAATTTTTAGCAAAATTAGAAGAAAAATTTCACGTAATACGTTCGTTCGTCCCGCATAATCCCGTCGTCAAACAAACTGACGCGTTTCCTAACTACTGGTTGTTTTTTTAATCTATGCTACTGGTTACGTAGAAAGGACTGTACATTTCGAATTCACACTTCTTGGACTACCTCCATTTCTACGAAGTTCCTCAGCGATAAATGCGCTAATGCCAAATTGAAACTTTATCTCATAGAAAATTTCACTCAGAAACTAGTGGCGCACTAATTTTCTTTTCGGGTATGATTTTGGAGGCATGAACTCTGATAGTGATATAGATTTTTATATTTATATTTTATATGACTAAGGTATGGACATGGATCGTGAAGTGTTCAGTTCTTGGGATACAAGGAGTTGAAGTGTTTTCGCAAAAACTCATCGAGAACGATTGAATATGACGAACGACGTATAGGATTTCTACTTTAAATACAGTTCATCTCCATTGAATATTCATCACCTGATCAGGAAGTCATTCTACACGTTTTATTCAGTGATGTGTTATACAGCTCTACGACGGGTTGTGTTAGTTTCTTCTTCCATCATATTTGATACGCCAATTCAAAATTTTTTTAATAATCAATCTCTTGAATTTTTCTTCAAATTTTGTTAAAAAGCGCATAAACTTCATATGAGCTGAATCAAACTGTTCCCTCACTTTGGATAGCAGAGTATCACAAATACATTTTATGACTATATATAATGCTTTGATGAGTCGTACGTCGTACTTCTCAGTTTCATTCTAGTAACGTAGCTGACAAAAAATAGTTATTTCAGGTAGAAATTAAAAAACAAAAATTTTTTCCATAATGTAGGCGCATACCTAGAGTTTTGTTTTACATATTTTTGAAGATCAAATAATCAGATAGGTGACGTCCCCCATTTTTTCCATACAAGGAGTGAACCGATTTCTTGCGTTTGTAGTGACTATCCTAATGCCAGAATAGCAGGCGTGAAGTTGGCAATTTCTTCCTGGATGTTTGGTCTTCAAATTTTGGGGTTGTGACTTCCGAAAACGGAAGTCACAACGTTTCTCATTGCTGATTTCAGATACTGAATGTACGGGGGGTTACCTTCCATATAGCAAAAATTCCTGTGGAAGTCACTTAGACCCCTCTGTATCTGCAACTCCCGATTTTAGTTCCCGCGTATATAGTAGACGCTGTCATCGCACAAAAATATGTACAGGGTGATTCACCATAAATGTCCCCCGCCTCTAGCTCACTTATTTTTGAACCGTTTTGAAAATTTGAAAGATAATCTAAAATGATTTTTCAGAAATTTTTTTCCTGTTGCATCAGAAAATACAGGGTGCTCGGAACAAACGACCTACAGAGTACTAATTGATTTTTTAAAATGGAACACCCTGTATTTTATTGTATTTTTAGATTCTTCCTGGAGAGCTGATTTCATCAATGTATCACACTTGGGGTTTAGCGGGAATGATTACAGAGATATAGGGTGTTCAAAATCGAGATTTTTCAACTTTAGGATTTTTTTGTGCCGAAACTATCAATTATTATTGGTCAAAACGGCTGCTATGTTCCTATCTCAACTTTCGATTCACTATCTAGTGAAATTTAATTGGAACATTTACAGGGTGGTTAATTGGAACATTTACAGGGTGGTTCAAGATTCAGAATTCTGGTCACCCTGTATCTGTTCCAATTATTAAATGTCAGCAGATAGTAAATCAAAAGTTAAGATACGGACATAAAAACCGCGTGACCGATAATGAATAGTTTCGTCACAAAAAAATCCTAAAGTTAAAAATCTCGATGTTGAACACCCTATATGTCTGTAATCAGTCCCACTAGACCCCAAGTGTGATGCATTGATCAAATCAGCTCTTCAGGGAGAATCTAAAAATACAATGAAAAATAGGGTGTTCCATTTAAAAAAATCAAATAGTAGGTACCCTGTAGATCGTTTGTTCCGAGCACCCTGTATTTCCTGATCTAGTGGAAAAAACTTTATCGAAAATCATTCAAGATGATATTTCAAATTTTGAAATCGGTTCAAAAATAACTGAGATAGAGGGGGGGACATTTATGGTGAATCACCCTGTACGAGCAATGCACTATAACCTCCGCATTGTTGATACTACGTAGTCACTTCCAAGTGTTGTTACCATTTCGCGCCAAATAATCAGTTGTCAAGTTCAAGAACAAAAACCCTCTAGTTTAATAACTTCATATGTGAGAATGATGGCAGCCAGAGGTAAAATCATGCTAAAAAATTCAATTATGAAAATATAGGTACATACACCCATCTAGTTCGCGTGACCAACCTTAAAACATGATTCGGCATCTTTCGATCCTCCAGCAATGAAAAGAAAGTTTCCTCCTGGTAGCCTCTTGAAGGAATCCATCAAATACTGGCTCAAAAATTTTATGAGTGCCATTTTATTTGGTGTTGATTTCAGAAAATTCCTGTAGTTTGGCACTGGTCGACTTCCTGTAATAATGAATATTCCTAGATTATGATGTCCACGTCTCTCCATGTCTTTTATGGAATCCTTGATATCATATCTATCGAATACCAGAAAAACTGAATCACAGCGAGAATATTTTTTGAAAATAAAAAGCATTCTTTGAAGTATCTTCTCTGCCAAATCGTTGAGAGTTTTGAAAGATTTCTCATTCACTTCATTCAGAATGACCATTCCATCTATGAAATAGAAACTAGTCGTTGAACAAGTATCCGCCAATATGTTACAATGTAGATATAACTTTTTGGCAAGATGTTTTTCTCATAGTCCTATCTTCATGAAAAAGAGAGAGTGGGACTGGTGTGACTTCGTGGGGTAAAATATCAGTGAAATCTGAATCTTGGAACTGAGCTGCACTTGTAATTCTTCTGAACATAAACTCTGGATTTATTTTACTATTCTTCCCTGACTCCTTATAGCCAATTCGATCATCAGTGAAGTTTGACATTTTGAAACGACTGACAGTTTCCCAGAAACTAACAGTGCGTATTTTGGTGAACCTGTCCTCTCGACCATGGGGCGATGTCGTAATTTCTCATTATATATGTGGATGATGATGACAAAAAATGTCCCCGATGTTTAATTATTGTGCCCTGTTTAAGTACGGCAGACTGTGCGGTCTATCGTTCAATAACCCAATCATGGGGTATAACAAGGAAACATGAAAATCAAAATTATCTGAAATTGAGAATTGGCATTCTCTTTCAATGTTTTTTTTTTCATATTTTAGTTCCTCTGTTGATATTTTCTTCTGACATATAAAGACTAATGGTTTGGTTCCTTGAACAATTTTCTATCATCAATAATAACAAAGTCATCGATGGCTGCTGACACTCAACTTGGATTACCCTGAAGAGTATCCCTTGATACGTGGGATTCACAAGAACGTTTATTTAATAGCTTCCATAGTGAGTTTTACAAGAACGTTTATTCAATGGCTTCCATATGTATGTATGTATGTATGTATAAGCATTTTTTCATCAACCCCTATCTACAGCACCGCACTGATTATCGTTAATAAAGAATTCTCGAAACTAAATTCCGTAGCTGAACTTCGATTTCAATCTAGTTTCGTATCACCTTCTTCCTTTTTCTAGAAATATGGGTACAAAATGCAAAATGAATGAATTTGGGTATGACATAGATTCATATAAATAACATCCAATATCTTGTATCAATAATCAAACTTTGAAAACTCCAAAGTTTGTTGTAAAAAAAAATTGTAAAATTGTTCTATCTGTCATTCGGTTGCCCCCTTACGAGCAACCCTCAGAAGTCTTCGAAAGTCTTGTGCGAGCAAGGAATGACGGGGGCCTTACCTTTTAACGTGTGATCCCAAACACTTGTAACATCCCAAACACCTATTTCTCGAACCCTTCTCTCAACCTACTTCAAGGAATTGTAGTTTTTAAGAAAATACTTCAAATAAACACTTTCTTCTACATATAGCAAAAAAGTTGGGTGACGTTCATATATTTCATATTGAAATGTGGTCATTCATCACTTCATATCATGTGAACGATCTTATTCTCGAGTGTACAAGAGCAATAGGAACATAAAAGCAGGTCGAACTGAAAGTATACGTAGAATCCCC